GAGATAGTAGAGAGACAGTAGGGAGAGAGATAAGAGATAATAGACAATAGAGACAGACAGTAGGGAGAGTGATAATAGACAGACACAGTAGGGAGAGATAAGGGATAGTAGAGAGACAAGTAGGTTGAGAGACAGTGGAGAGAGAGTAGAGATAGAGAGAGAGGTAAGAGACAGCAGAGATAGACAGTGGGGAGAGGGGTAAGAGATAATAGACAGTAGAGACAGAGACAGTGGAGAGATGAGAGACAGTAGGGAGAGATAAGAGACAGTAGAGAGACACGAGGGAGTAGAGACAGCAGGGAGACAGATAAGAGACAGCAGCGATAGTAGAGAGACCCTAGGGAGAAAGATAAGAGACAGTAGAGATAGTAGACAGAGAGACAGAGGGAGATAGAAGAGACAGTAGAGAGATGGCAGAACAATGAGATAGTAGAGACAGGAGGGAGAGATAAGAGTAGAGAGAGATAGTAGGGAGAGATAAGAGACTAGAGAGAATAAAGACAGTTGAGAGTAGAGATAGTAGAGACAGTAGGGAGAGTAACAGTGGAGAGAGTAGAGACAGTACAGAGAGATAAGAGACATTAGAGAGATAGTAGGGAGAGAGATAAGAGACATTAGAGAGATAGTAGGGAGAGAGATAAGAGACATTAGAGACAGAGACAGTGGAGAGGGAGTAGACAGAAGGGAGAGATAAGAGACAGCAGAGATAGTAGAGCGACCGTAGGGAGAGAGATAAGAGACAGCAGAGATAGTAGACAGTAGAGAGACAGAAGGAGATAGAAGAGACAGTAGAGAAAGAGACAGTAGAGACAGATGGGAGAGACAGGAGATAGTAGGGAGAACAATGAGACAGTAGAGACAGGAGGGAGAGATAAGAGAGTAGAGAGAGATAGTAGAGAGATAAGAGACTAGAGAGATGAAAGACAGTAGAGAGTAACAATGGAGAGAGAGAAGAGACAGTTGGGAGATAAGAGACAGCACAGATAGAGACAGTAGGTAGACAGTAGAGAGAGTAGAGAGAGATAAGACAGACAGTAGGGAGAGAGATAAGAGCAGAGATAGTAGAGAGACCCTAGTGAGAGAGATAAGAGATGATAGGCAGTAGAAACAAGAGAGAGACAGTGGAGAGGGAGTAGAGACAGCAGGGAGAGAGATAAGAGACAGCAGAGATAGTAGGGAGACAGTAGGGAGAGATAAGGGATAGTAGAGAGACACGAGGGTAGAGAGACAGTGGAGAGGGAGTAGAGACAGAGAGAGATAAGAGACAGCAGAGAGAGAGACAGTAGGGAGAGGGATAAGAGACAGTAGAGAAAGAGACAAGTAGAGGGAGAGACAGTAGAGAGAGACAGTAGAGACAGAGATGGGAGAGACAGGAGAGACAGAGGGGAGAAACAGT